GTGGGCTAGTGAGCCAAATTCGACTTATAGTCGGGCGAATATTTCGACATAACCGGGGTTTATGGCCATTATGCCATTCTCCAATTAGTCGGCCTTACCTTATGAATCCCAGAAATAAATGGCCATCACTGATCCGACCGTTGAGAAAATATTTGCTTCCCTCGTAGCAAGTTTATCGCATAAAATCTTACTTTGGACTGTTCTTTAGTATCTTCACGATAATGTCTTATGGTAGAGGTACCCCCATCGTATTGGGTAATATCCTGAACGCTTCAGTTTCATCCACAGTCGTTTATATGTATCTTTCGATGTTATCGTCATTAATAGACGTGACTGGACGACTCTCATTAGGCAAGTCAGGTCTGAGGCAGAACTGATTATAATCGTCTGACTTTCTACAGGTTATCGCCAGGTGGCCATATTCCAAGCATTTGTTTAAGGTTCAGCAGCTCTCTGATTCGACATATCACCCATTCTTTTTTAATATTTATATTCTTGCAACATGTTGCTGCACTGCATTAAATTAAGATATCGGACTGTAATTTTCAACCATTCCCAAAGCGCCACGATGCATATCAGTCAAATAATTTAACATCCACCCCTAACAGGGTAAACAGACGCTGGATAAGAGTCCGACGCGCCTGGATTTTTGTACTGCTCATCAAGCCTATACATAGTGAAGAATATATTTCTATGAAGCGGTGTCGTTACACCACAGTCACAGGAACCTCAAGGGATATGTTAGCTTTTACCTCCCATCCTCCGTTCCCGGCGCTCATCATACGGGATTGCTTATTCATTCAAACGTATTTCACAACCAACTCCCCCGGTAGCTTATATACTTACATACATGCATATGGTGGTATAGACAAACCTTTCCGACTAATATGAGACTGGCATATTTCTGACCGCAGTTTGACAATGGATTGCTCGTTAAAAATTCCAATCACATGTAAAAAGGGTTGAGCTTGCGGGCCAAATGAAATGATTGCAAAGAACAATCGACCACATTTTCCTAATGTTCTTTCCAATCAAATTTTCATAGTATACTTTTAGGGATGGCATTCAAGGGAGCGCACGAGAATCATTTTAGATATGTATGCTCTTTCAAATCTGTCGTAATAATGTGATTATCATATTAAGCTCTCCCCATTTCGCACCTCATAATAAGGTTACTAACATCTTAGCAGCTGTCTCCAATTGCTGTGCCTTCGGTCAGCTCTTAATTCACAGAAATTTGTTTTTGTATTGCGTTAGCATTTTATTTTTCTGACCTGTTGAACGACTTTCTTTTTTGGAAATTTTTTGTTTGACTTGTTGCTTTTCTCTTGGTGGCTGCGTGAAATTTTCTAGCATCTCTGTTGTTATAAATGCTTATTTGTATATGTACACACACATGCACACTTGTTACGCTTGAAGACCTGTTTACATACTAAAAACTTACTATTTTTTTCTTTTTCTCATTTATTTACATATAAATTTTCATTTCGCTGCAATTAAAATTCAACAAAGCCGCTTTCTGGAGAAAATTAACGTCTTGCAAATCTTAATATTTACAAAATTTACCTAATTTAATTTATTTTGTTTATTTCAATAAAAAAAGGAAATTTTAGATAAGCTTTACCATAGGGCTCAAAACACAATGCTACCCATCCAAAATAATTTAACATATAACATAACTAAAACCCTCTTTAAAATTGCTTCCGTTCAGACAGTATCGCCAACATTTGCAGACAAAGTCTAGGAAAGATATTGTTCATTTTCTTATTATACCATAATATCAAAAATTGCATAATTTTCCGCTTGTTTCACAGCATTCTGTCTATCCAATCAGATAAATTATTCAATTGATTATTTTTTGCAGAGCATTCGAAGAATTGTACGTTTTGGTTAATGTGCGAAAATTCAAAGTCCTTGCCTTCTTTACCCAAAAATACTGGTTTTGACATGTTATCCTCTCCCACTGACTGCAATTTGCGACCACGTGTTACTCGTACAATGTTCCTAACGTAAGAAATGATTTTAATTAGTTATCATTAACATTTTTACTTGAATTGTTTAATTTACATTTCTTTTTCCAACACACTTTTTATTACTTGAGCGCCCTTAGCTGTGCTCAGATCTTGTTTATTGCAGAGTACTAAGAAGGGACAAGACTGTATTGCAGGATCGGCAAGTACGCTATATAAAGCACTATTGTGTCAACGAGATTTATACGATAAATTTTGTACAAAATTATCATTTTACGCAATGAATACTTACTCCGCCACGTCGCGGACATCTTTTTGTAATGTTACAGAATCCACCACAAAAATTAAGCCCTTGGCTGTGCGTTTATATTGATCAAAACACTTATCTCTCACTCTATAATGTCCAGGTATATCTACAAGACGTCCAGACATACGTCCGGAACGGTACTCGCCTACGTTTTCTGTGATGGAAGTGAAAGTATCTGGGAATTTTTTGTGCATCATTTGCATAAATATCGCACTCTTCCCAGATTCACTCAAACCGGTCAAAATGAAATCTCTTCGCCCAAAGGATCTTCTACGCAACAATAGTATTATTGCTATAAAGGGATTTTAAAAACTATTTTACATTTACCGTGAAAATATGCATATAAGAGCACTAACCCATTACAATGAATCCCAACACCGCAGCAACCAGTACAGTAGTCATATTGAACTCTGATACTTTGGATGTTGTATTCTCTTGTGCACTTTCTGGTATTGTATCCATTTTATATAAATTATTAACAAATGAAAAGCTTCTTATTTAAAATATTTAATTGTGCCGCTTTAAGAAGTTGAAATCACTTTGGTTAATATAAACTCCAAACAAATGTCACTTCAATGAGTTGACAGATATGACAGCGCACAGTCGACACGCATACACTAGGGTAGCAATTTTGTTGTTGAAATTAATGTATCGATAAAAATACTAAGTGATAGGCATCCACTTAACAAATCAGACCAATTATCGGCTCCCGAAAATATATTTTATGTTACTTAATTTTTAAATAAGACGTATTTCATCAGTATTATTATTTATTATGCATTTCAAAATCAATATAATGTAGTATTGTATATTATTAGCATTAGGAGCAATTTATAAATCAAGCATTTCTGTATTGGTGTAGTTTAAAATTTTGGTAGGAATAGGGTTAAAATTGATTTAAATTATCGATTAATTATTGTTGGTCTATTGACCGATGGATGGCGCGTTGTCAGTCAAGAATATTTCACCCACATCTATGAAGTAACAGCTGTTTCAGTCATTAAACAAAGATAAGCCGTATAATTAAGTTCAAAAGCTGTATTTGGCGTATGTAGTTAAAAAATGGCAAAACTTTTACAGAGAGTTGAAACTACTTTGCGCTGCTTTTACGTTTTCAATTCAAATTATTGTAAAAAAGAAGGCGAAGAGTTCAAAAAAATTCTCTACTATAATCCTGAGGATATCGAACTGAACACAAAGATCAAGGATGTTGGTTTAAGCGAAGCTATTATACAGTTTACTGGGTATGCCATACTATTCTCATTGGAATCGAAATAATTGTTAAATTTTCACATTGTATTCAGCACTTTCGTTGGTGATGATGACTGCAAAGCGCTACATACACAGAAAACTACGCAGTTATTCTATCAACCCGAAAGAGGTTATTGGATTGTTATGGTTCTAAATGTACCGAAAGAAGTTAAAAGCAAGGATGGTGTTGAGGTACCGGAGTATCGTGGCACCGAAGTACAAGATCGAATATATAGGGCCATATTACGTCAATGTTACAATATGTTCCGACTGAGTTCGGGTACTTTCCGTTCGAATTCAAATGATAGCGATGAATATAATGGGCATGAGCAATTAAAAGAGCGACTTTCGACATTTTTCAATAACGTAAGTATAACTTATATTTGCTTTACTAAAAGTAAACATATTGCTTTAGTATTTGAAAACTCTGAGGTTTCCCGTTGGAGACGTGCTTAGCTTTATGCACTCCATACAATATTTGCCTTTAGAACAAGCGCTATTTCTTCGAGCCCATAATTTCATAAACATGATTCGTGCAACGTTTCCTGCCATAAGAGAGTCTGTGTTACTGTACGACCAACGAGTAATAAGGTCAGTTTCGGTGTACAAAACTATATTTAGTTTTAATTTTAAATTAAAAAACATAAATATTCAAGCAATTTTTCTTACAGCGGTGGGCAAATCAATGCAATTGAATTGTGTAGTTTGCATCAATATCTTTTAACCTCATTCATCGAAAAATCCGAACATCCCATAGGAAGTTCTCAAAGTGAGAGTCCTCTAGTAGAAAAGTTTCAAAATGGAGTTTATGTCACTGGTCTAGGTAGTGAAGAACACTCAACTGACTTACCTAAAGTATACATCAAAATAAGGAAAGAGCTCCATTGTTATTATATAGTAATTTTTCGAGTTTTAAGAGCAACATTGTGTTTACTTATAAGTGGTAAGTATTGTTAAATAATATTATTGCCTAAAAATTCATGACTTTACTTTATAGCAACGGAGGATCCTCCATGCAAAGGGTTTTACGATGAACTACGCTCATATATGGAACCTCAGTTGTCGAACATCGCAAAGGAGATAGAAGAAAATATCAGTAAACAGGGTCTCCGCAAAGCAAATACTTCTTCATCGCTCTCTGCTTTGTCTTCGGCTGACGATAATTTGAACCCCAAATACATATTTATCAATGAGCATAGCTTAAAACATCTTACTAACATTCCCACAGAATATCGTAGATCAAATAAATCAACACACTATATTCCTGCTAATGTCACTAATCTTATAGCAGATCTTATCCCCACTGATGAAGCCAACTATTTAGAGGACTCGTACTCGGATTTGAAAGAAGTGCAAATTAAAACTACAAATGATTTTTGGATTGTACAACGATGTTGGAATTGGCGGCGGTGCTATGTGATAATACACAACAGTAAAGCAACTTTGCTGGATATTACACAAGAAGCTAGGCGTGTGTTTGATAAAGAATTCACAGATGATGTATTTTTTGACAAATAAAAAGTATAATTAAATAAATGAAAGGCGTTTTCCAATTAAAACGACGCACTTCCTCATGGTATGCATTCAATTGTCCCATAGCTCGATTACGGTGACAGAACACGCAGCAAGATGTAATAGCGTCTCAAGTTAGTATTGATGCCACACCAGAAGTCTCACTTTCTGAGAATACCACATTGCTACCATTGTTCGTAAGACCGTAAACTGTGCCTCCACGCGGAGCATTCTTTAACTTTACTATATATATCCGATGATTGCTCATAGAAATGTTGTAACTGTGATCATCATACACAATTGAGATGCGTTCACAACTGCTATTGGGCATGAAGTTATCGTCAACACTAAAAATGTAAAATAGTACACGTTTTAGGAGTGTTTCTAGATCATAAGGTTATTAGTTAATTTTGAAGTACTATGTTCACGACCGGTTATAGGGCTTATATTCATTTGGAGGATTAAACGAATAATTAATGCAATAAACGCGATGAACCTTGTGGTTGTTATAGAAAATCACAACAACTAAAACTTTACGAACCTTTCCGATAGGTGTAAAAGTTCCATGAATATGTTAGCACTTCTTTCATCATTTTCTAAATCTCCACCGGAACCAATAACTGCTCCATCGTCTTGCAATAATAAATAGCCAATTTGATTGCTCAATTTTTCCATATTGCTAATTAATGCCATTTAAAATGTTAATTATGTGTAAGTTTTCTTAAACTTATAGACAAAGGGAAGATATTTCAATTGTTCCAGATAGCAAATTCTTTTGTTTTTAACTTAAAAATATCTTTGACATTTAGAGTTAAAGTTTTAGTGATAACAAATGGTTTTAGGCACTTTCGACTTTTAAAATGTCAACTGCGACACATGAAACGTGCCTACAAATACAAAATTTTACTACCTATTTTAATATATAAGAAAAACTTTGAAATAATTAATCTTCTTTTATTATAAAATTTTTTACTACTTCACCAGTTTTTCTATGTTAAAATTATTATACATATTACGATGCCTTAGTCAATAACTATTTAGAATTTTCCATCGATTAAAAATCGATTTTAGTTTGCACATCATTAATGTAAATATCTCAAGCCAAAGCTTTGTTATTGCGTCTTTGGAGAAGTAAAATTGAGTTAAACTATTAATATATTTTGTATCTAGTATGTTTTATATTATTTTTGGGCCTTTTGGATTTTCTATACCTTAGAATTCGTATTATGCAGTGTTCTAGCTAATAAAATCTATTTTCTTTTGTAAAGACGATTTTATTTCGACAGAAAGCAGTTTTTTCCTCCGAATCAGGTAAATGCACTTAGAATAATTATTTCAAACATTTTTTTAGTTTTAATACTCTCGATATTACACGCTTGATATCGTGGAAGCTTATATAGAAGCCTAGTTTAGAAAATATACGGTGTTTGGAATGTAGCGAGAATGTTTATATTTTCTTTATATATTTATTATGAATGTCGTGTACAAAGTAGGACAAAAACACGAAATAAGAACTCAAAAGAAGGTAAAAAAAACTARTTGGATTTGAAACAATTGTTCATGATTGCTATAAGCAGTTTATAATGTTAATTGTTAAGAATGAAATAAAGTTTAGTACAAGAGACCGTATAATCTAATAAGAAAAACATTTATTATAAATATATCCACTCTATTGAAATTTCATATTATGATATCACAACTCAAAATTAATTTAAAAATGTTATATTAAAACAAATTACTTACACATCTCTACAGATAAATTTATGTTGCAGTGACTTTTTTAAATTATATTTCATTCACGAAATCTTAATTTTTTCCAACACTGGAGAATGCCAAAAAGCAAAGTGGAAAATGTCAAACGACGTTCTCAACGAATATCGAATTTATTCGTTGCCATTTTGTAAATTGCTCTTAAAACAGACGAAAGTTGGTATATTGTGCGCTTTGAATGAATTATTAAAAAAGAGGCTATCCAGTTTAAAACTAAAGGATATTGTGTAAAACGCGACTAAGAATTTATTCGTGTAAGTTAGATTGAAATTTCATAAGTGCATATGAAGTTTATAGTAAAATTAGGTAGTATTTTGTGAAGAAAATTAGTGGGTCAGTTAAGCAGCCGCCACACCCATTATGGGAAAAAAAATATTTTGTAGCAAATCTAATCAATATTTAGTAAAGAAAATATTTCATTAAATAAAGAAATAGCTAGTTTGATTAAAATTTGATTGTGTTTTGTAGTTTAATATTTGGTAAGTCAAGGAAAATTTCTGTATCTGAAATTATTAAACGAAAAAAGTTACAAAAAGAAAAGTATTTAGGGGAGAAATCGTTCATTAAGAGCATTGCCGATGTGAGCGACGTCATCGTGCTGCTTGCTTCATGATGAGCAGAGCAGACGGCAAGTTTGTGTTTGGAAAGTGTTTTTTGGAGTTGCGTTCATGTGTTGTATATGGTGAAAATTAAGCAATTACAATAAATTAGTGCTACCAAAAGAAGAATTTTCTCAATAATACAAGAATATGATATGCTTAATATCACGTAAAACAAATAAGTTTATAATTCAAAATTTATTTTGAAGTGTGCTACGAACTCGATATTGTACAATTAAATAAAGGGTGTGACCAAAGGTTGACATCGGAAATCATAAATTTATATATTTGTATTTAGAAACAAGAAGCGAGCTGTCGCATATTTTTAGGATGATTACATATTAGTCAAGTTGTTTTTATATGCTAATATTGGATTAAAAACACAATTTATTTTAATCATATTTCTATTTTCGCTTAAGGCCTTGTGTTTAAAATACTAAACATAGGTTTCTCAGGTATTTGCGTGGCCTTACATCCTCATTTATTAAAAGAAGTTGTAGATGATAGTCCTTTTAAAAATCCTAAAATAGTATTACGTCAACACCTAATGAAATCAACAGTGAGCAATAACATTGAGTTGTCAAATGGTACATTTAGTCTGCTCATCCTTCCAAACTGAACTATGACTCAAAGAGCATGCGTTACTTATCTTTATTATTTAGTTTGTCTTTTACTTGATATATATTTTATTATATACTATTGTCTTTTTCGATATTTTTGCTTAATATTTACCTTCTCAATTAGAGGTATACGGTAATATAGGTAGATAGAAAACGCTCGGACATGCCGATAATTAACAAATTCATTTATACAAAGACAGTTTTAAACCCAAATATTTGTGTTTACGCATTACGTCATTTCATTATTTTTGCTCAATTCCCTGAGTCAATTGGTTTTGTAGAACTTGTGTGAGTGTCTTTTTTTTGTTGTTGTCAGTAGTTCAGTGCTGAGTATTTCCACAACATATCTATAGTCTGATCAAATATGAGAATGTACAAACTTCGATTTGAGGTTGCATATTAACTTTTTTTAATTTTTGTGTAATTTGTTAAGTGATAGGCATATGTACGTACACACATATAATTTTTCTATATAATGGCTATTAAACTGTATATAGAAGTTTGGAAAAATGCATAGTATATTCTATTATTTCACAGTTTACATCTTATATAATATATATATATATTTTATTTTTAGTTCGCCGATATATATTATATATATTTAATAAGCTCCCTTTCAATTTGAATACCCATACATTTTTGTACTTGTTATATAGATCAATACTTTGAGAAACGAAAAATAATATTTATATATTTGAAAGTAATTTTGTTGTATTGAAAGGAATCGATCGCCTACCCACAAATGTTCAGAATTTATAATAAGTGACTTTAATGAAATGCAATAAAATCTAAAATATATTTGATGTTTGTTGTGATTGTAGTTCTTCTAGGTATTGTTTAAATTGAAGGTCTTTTTCCAGTACTATTTCTCCAAAATAATAACTAACTCTTTCGCACTTTTAATGCCTAAGTTATAAAAACCAATTATTAGCTGTAGACTTGTTGTAGATAATATTACAAACATATTTATTAATAAAAAGTACCAATATTGCAAAAACATGTTTACTATATATTACAATAATAAACGTGTGCATGCAATTTAGATCTTTCCAATAAGTCTGACGACAAGCTCATACCACTTCCATCCTGAAATATCGTCCTCTTTTTCTCTGACATATTCCATTTCAGATGATCAAATTAAATATTACGAAATATTTAACACAATAGAAAGAGGCATAATGAGCAGTCTTTAGAGATTCAACGATTATCTAAGCTAAACACATTAGAAGTTAAAAAACAGGAAGGTCTAGCAATGACTACGTCGGAAATAAAATTGAAACAGTTGTTACGTGCTACTGTGGAAGTGCCAACACAAACAACTGAAGATGACACAATTTCTATGGACCATTTTCGCAAATGGTTTCTTCAGCAATTCGAGGAGACAAAGTCAGATACTGGGGACAGCTTGGAGAATTTTGCAATATATTTCTTGAATACTATGCGTCGACAAACTGAAAAATATTTGCGCACAAACGAAGTAGAGCAAACTTGCCAAACGCCTCTCAAAACAAATAAATTGCTAACTAATATTAGCGATATCGATGGGTATGAGAAAATCAATACACCCAAACGTGTGTCACTATACCCACAGAATTCGGCACCAACCACACCAAATTTTGCCTCTACACCAGAGCAAGGAAATAAAAGTAAAGATTATTTTGAAAGCAGCCTACTTACCGATAACCCAAGCAATTCTCGAAATAATGGTAAAAACATCTCATCTACGGTTTCTACGCCTGCTCAATCGATGGAACGAAGTGTAACAAGTACTTTTAAAAGTGACGCATCTACGCCTATTCGTCGTAGTCAGAACAGCAACCGGCGTTCGGGAAATAGCTCGTTGCTGCCAGTAACACCTCATAATACTGAACAGTCAGTACGTAACAACAGCGCTACCTCCAGCTTCTGCCTTGGTGACTTTATGGTGCTCCAACAAAACAACAATCGGTCGAACCGAAAGAAAGCCACAACTACACAAACTCAAAATACTCCCGCATCGTCATATAATGAAACTCCAACTAATAGTAAACCCAAAAAACGCGTAGTTCCAACCACAATAAGTAACCGGTCAGTTGTAGGTGTTGCGGGCGAGCTTAAAGCTTTTGGCTGCAACAGTTCATTCAGCAATGAAAACAATATACTTCAACTATCGAATGCTGAAATCGAAGATAAAAATAAATGCAGTATTATGGCTGCTAGAAAATCTCTGAAACTAAATGCTATTGAAATAAGTAAAGAAATGGAAACCACATCGATTGGTGAAGAAGAGAAAAATTTACATGAAATGGTTAAGCGGAAGCTAAGAGATGTCACATTAAATGTCGAAACGGAAACAACGAGAGATACACTAAGAGCTCAACCGCCTATAGTAGAGCTAGGAAAAATCAAAAATCACGCATACATACAACGTCTGGCAGATATATATGTGGTTTTAATGGACTTGAATTTTGTAACTAACATACTAAGTGAAATGGCGTTTGCGTTGAATTTGTTAAACACACAGGAAACCACCCTAGACGACCTTGAAGTTAATACTAACGAATGCACAAATTTTAAAACTGACCTAACTCAAGAACATTCGATAGGCATGCAAATGTTGAGTAATATAACAAATTGCATTTATTTCGCTCTCTGTGTGATTAGACGTCAGCGACACTTGTTTGCACACCTCGATGTTAAGAGTTTGGGTGTAGTTCTGCATAACGAACGCATTCACTGTCTTGATACAGATTTAAAATCGTACCTAGAATCTATTTATCAGCTTAAACAAAATTTGCTACAAGATAAGACACAAGCATTCGAAACCTCCTCTACAAGCGAACGCCCGTTTAAGAGCGT